GGGTGTGGAGAAAAGGGAACCCTCTTGCACGGTTGGTAGAAATGTAAATTGATACAGCCACTATGAAGAACAGTATGGAGGTTCCTTAAAAAACTAAAAATAGAACTACCATATGACCCAGCAATCCCACTACTGGGCATATACCCTGAGAAAACCATAATTCAAAAAGAGACATGCACCACAATGTTCATTGCAGCTCTATTTACAATAGCCGGGACATGGAAGCAACCTAAGTGTCCATCAACAGATGAATGGATAAAGAAGATGTGGCACATATATACAATGGAATATTACTCAGCCATAAAAGAAACAAAATTTAGTTATTTGTAGTGAGGTGGGTGGACCTAGAGTCTGTCATACAGAGTGAAGTAAGTCAGAAAGAGAAAAACAAATACCGTATGCTAACACATATATATGGAATCTAAAAAAAAAAAAGTTATGAAGAACCTAGGGGCAGGACAGGAATAAAGACACAGACATAGAGAATGGACTTGAGGACGCGGGGAATGGGAAGGGTAAGCTGGGACAAAGTGAGAGAGTGGCATGGACATATATATACTACCAAATGTAAAATAGATAGCTAGTGGGAAGCAGCCACATAGCACAGGGAGATCAGCTCGGTGCTTTGTGACCACCTAGAGGGGTGGGATAGGCAGGATGGGAGGGAGACTCAAGAGGGAGGAGATATGAGGATATATGTATATGTATAGCTGATTCAGTTTGTTATAAAGCAGAAACTAACACACCATTGTAAAGCAATTATACCCCAATAAAAATGTTAAAAAAAAAAAAGAGTACTGCTTCTCCACTTCATGTGCATAAGAATCACCTGGAGCTCTTGTTAAAATGCTGATTTGGTCTGGGCTTCTGCATTTCTAACAAGTGATGCATTACTAACATCTTCTGTATTTCTAACATCCCAGGTGATGCTGATGCAGCTGGTCTGGGAACCACAGTCTGAGTAGCCAAGATCCATGGCCTCTTGTCCTTCCCCTGTAGCTCATACTTCACCTTATAACAAATTCTGTTCCACTTTGCTCCTTTGGGTTAAAGTCAATAAACCCAAACTGCCTAAGATGTTAAAATCAGGGAGGTTAACTGATCCCATTACATGTTCTGCTTTGCAAGTTAGAATGAGGACTTAAAGAATTAAACTATATTAAGCATAGACTTTAAAAACAATTAAAAACGTGACTCACGCTCCATATTGATTCAGACTCTCCATATCCTTTGATTTCAGCAGTATTATTGTCATGTCTTGATCTCTTGTTAATTAACAAGATTTTAAAAGATGGATCGATGAAAATGATGTGCTGATCAACTTATCTGATGACATTGAAACTAAGTAAAAATTCTTTTGGAAATTTACTTAATCTATTCCAAGAGACATTAAGTTTGTTTACACCAGCACTGTTTTGGTATTTGATCTCATATTCTCATTCCTGATAACATATTACAAATAATTCACTTATACAACAAAGATTTGCCGAGCATTTACTACATGCCCCTCCCTGTAATAGAGGTGAATTAACTTAAAAGAAGGAAAAAAGCACTTTCTTCAAAGATATTTATTTCAGTATTAACTAAAACGAAAAACTTGGAAACTAAATCTTCAACAACTGGGGAATAATTATGTACATTTTGATATAACAACTCAAAGTAATAGTTCAAGACATTAAAAATGCTGTGTAGATCACAAAATTGTGTGCAAAAGGAATTTAAAAGAGGATTAAAAAACTGTAGAAGCAAAAAACTGAAATAAAAGCTAGGGAGGTGTATTGTTATAATATTACCGTAAATAAAATGTTGCCGTAAAAAGCTTATTAAAAAACTACACACACACTCACACACACACATACACACTTGTAGCAGCATCAAATACTGTAAAGCTTCATTTCTTTGATGCAACTTTTAAAAAGCCTTCTCTTACACCAACAAAAACATTTCTGTCCTTTCCTGTCTCCATAGCCTGCTTCTTCCTGTCTGTAAATGCAGGCAGGAGATGTCGAGGAGGTAATCTAGAGCTCTCCCGATTTACAGTGAGGAAAATAACGGTTTCCTGAAGAGGTTGGCAAATGTTATGCAGACATTTTACATCCGTATCAGTGTTATCAATGACATGGATTCTACAAAGCTAAACCCAGGCACCAAGGTATTTTTCTTTCAGCTATTTTTGCTTAAAAGTTATTCGTTTGGGGTTCTATTTTTCTCATATTGCAAACTTTATGGATATTGGGTTTTTAGTTGTAAATATCATCTTGTTTATATTTGAGTTTACTCAGTGTTGGAATCCCTATGTAATTCTTTAAGTTTGGTAAGTTCCCAGGTACAAAGGCATAATTTAGGGAGGGGAGTGGGAGGGGTGTGTGTGTGTGTGTGTGTGTGTGTGTGTGTGTGTGTGTGTGTGTG